CTCTTTCTACAGAAAATCTAAGATCAGAAAAAAGAAAAGAAATTGATGATTTGGCCATAGAAGATGAAGTATTGGAACAGTTATTTAAGAACACAAAACCAGAGTTAAAAATTGAAATGAAAGTTCAAAAAGAAGAGGAAGATGTCAATATTAGAAAAAGGCCAAGGATAGATAGTGAAACAGATGACACTTTTAATGATGAAGCATTATCAGAAAATAAAGTATCTGTAAGTAACATTTTTAATGAGTATTGCAAATAGAAACTTAGAATCAAAAAAAATTTACTTTAGATTTTGTATTGATGATGTGAGGATCCATTATGTCGACTTGAGAGAAAAAAAATTAATGTCTTAACACCCAGTATTAAGTATAAGAATTTGTTGGTCAATAAGGTAATTTTTAAAAATACTGTAATTCTTCAACAGTATAAAATAAATGACAATAAATAAAACTGTTACACATGTTTGTTTTAATAGATTTCCAGATTAGGCTGTAGTATCAAAGAAATTTGGCCATGACGGTAAGTATAGGAGATGCTTTCATAGAATATACAAGCACATTAAAATGAAAAAAGTTAGTAAAACAAAGTACTAAATACATTTTTAGGGTAAAATATGTATAACATCACTAGGAATTTTTATTTTCATCTTGGTCTTTAATGTCCAATTTTTTTTTCATGAATGTTGATAATTTGTCTTACCCACTTTGATCTAAGAAAACCCTTCATATTATTTCCTATTTTATATATTAGTAAGTTTACCTACTATCTGTAGACTGGTTAGCTCATTAGATGAGAGCACAGACATGATGAAATCAAAATTTAATATTCTGATCTCCCACATGGGTCCTTTAGCTCCACTTCATTCATAGCTGTGATCATCCCTTCCTATATGAATGAAAGGATAAGGATTAAATAATTAGAAGTTACAGTTCATTCAATGAAAATTGAGAACCTGGTGTGTATCAAGCATTATGTAAATCTATAACTACTACTGAAAAACAAAGTGTATGTCCTATTTGTCCTATACTGGCATCTTCATACAGGGGAACCCTCATTATTTGTTAGTACTTCATTTTGTTTGTTTTTTGTTTTTGTTAGTACTTCTTGTGAGTGAATTCTAAGTGGCTCACCCTTCTGTGAGCCAGCTGCATCAGTTACCTGGTGAGCTTTTTTAAAATGTGGATTTCCAGGCCAAAGCCCCAGAGATCCTGACTTGGTACAGATGGTTCTCAGCTTATGATGGTGTTACCTCCTGTAAACCCACTGTAAGCTGAAAATATTGCAAGTCGAAAACGCACTTTCGACTTAAATGATATTTTCTTCTTTACAATAGGTTTATCAGCTCGTAACCCCATCATAAGTTCATGAGTGTATTCAGTGCATATCAGATTCACACCATTGTAATGTCAGAAAATTATAGGTCAGATCATCATATCTCAAACCATCATAAGTTGGAGACCATCTGTACATTCTATTTTCTTCCCAGAAAAAGTTTCCTCATTGTATTAGTTAAGAATTCTTTGTTTTAAAAAAATTCTAAAATCCGTGGCTTAAATAAGATAGGGTTTGGGGGGTTTTTTTCTATAAAAGAAACCGAGAAGTTGACAATCAAAGCTGCTTTCCATGGTATTAATTTCCTAGGCATCAGTCTTTCTGCTTTATGGTGGCAGTACTCCAGCCATCAAGTCTACTTTCTAGGGAAGAAGAACAAGGTGGGGAGGAGACAGGGTAAAGGGCTTTCCAGATGAGTTCCTCCCCTGCTTTCTAGGGGGCATTCTCAGAAACCCAGCTTAACTTTTGCTGATATAATTAGTGATATAATTTAGTTATGGTCTGCTCCAGTCTCCATCCCTCACCCTCAATCTATAAGAGAGAGGATAGGTATTGAGAACTGATTCCATTTTTCAGCAAGAGTGGGAACTTCAGAGACACGGGGTCCTTTATTACTAAGGATTTTAAGATTGGCTGTCATTTTACAGAAGAATTAATTGAACCAAGTGGTTTAAATATCCTATAAGTCACTTCGGTAGAGGAAAGCTAGGAAAGTTAGTTCAGTGTGGTATTTGGTGAAATCCAAGTCGTGATTTGCTAAGTTTAATGAATTTACATCTCTTTATAAAGCTATGTTTATTCTGCCTGCATTATGAATTTACATTGTCACTTTAGCTTCAGACTCTTCCAGAATTTGTGTTCAAGTTACTTAATATCATAAGTGTTTAGTCTTTAGAAAGTTAGGCACTATTTATATTATATTATTTTGGCCACACTTTGGGGAATGTGTTTCTCCTGTGGTACCCTTTCCTCCCGTATTTATAATTTTCTCTGATACATTCTTATTTTCTTTCTCTAGTTTTCTTGTCCTATTACATACTTTAATCCTGTTTCTCCTGTGGTACCCTTTCCTCCCGTATTTATAATTTTCTCTGATACATTCTTATTTTTTTTCTCTAGTTTTCTTGTCCTATTACATACTTTAATCCTTTTTTTTTCCTTTTCTCTTAATAGCCTTTTTTTGCTTTTCTTTAATTCTGTCCCACATTAGTTCACTGCTCACAGTGGCCACAGTTCTGTCTGGAAATGATTGTGTTTTTAGTTAAGCATTTGACAAAATTCAACATCCCTTCATGATAAA